GTTTATGAAATTATCAGAGCTTTTGATTCAAGGACACCCACTACTTTTATTATTGGATAATTGAAGCGGCGGCTTAGATTAATGTAGACAATTGGATAGGTATTAGCACAACTTTAATGAAAACAAGACTCACGAAACCAAGGTTCCAGCGAAGTACCAGAAGCAGGAAGGGAAGCATGGCTTCTGTGCAACCAATTTATCAGTAAACATTTGCCCGAGGCGAGCCCACCCCCAATGGGCGGGCTTATCCCTACATCTCCCCCTTTTTGTCTAAATAAGACAGAACTAAACCAAATACAACTATAAACAATAATAACAAATAATAAATATAACAAACAATATTGAGAACAAAAGTTTTACCAGACATTCTATCTCAAGGAGTCTAAATAATGTAAAGAGTAATTACAATTATATAATCTTCAACTTCATCAAAGATCTGAGAAGGGAATAAATATTACTTAACAAATGGGAGATATCCAAAATGTGCCATAAATGACAGAGACAACAGACTACCTGGGCAATCACCCAAAGTCTCGTTCACAATGTTGAGTCAATCAACTTTGGCTAAGGCCTAGCATAACTGACATACCATTAACAAATGCAAGGAATTTTCTTAGAATTATCCTACCCTGTCTTGGCAAGATAAGAAAATCCTGTTTCATATCTTTGTCAGTAGATGAGGTATGGGCTTTTCTTAACCCAAAGGCCAATTCTGCCAAGAAGACAAACTCCCAGTGGAGTGTCTTTGGTGCTCAACGTTCTCTCGGGAGTAGAGTGGTGTCGCCAGGAGTAATTGTGTCTCGGCACAGAATTCTAGGTTAGCTTAAAGGCCATTTTCTACAGCTCTTTAAAGAGGCTGAAGATTATACTATCTATACTAAATATAATCTCTATGTATCTAGAATACCTTATTAACCTAAAAATAAACATGAACAACATAAAATTCTCAATACCTATCTAACTTGAAGACAAAAAAAAATAAACAACTGTGCAATACATGAAGACAATGATCTTCATCTGTAAACAATGTCATTACATATCAAATGTAAACAATGTTATTACATAAATAGTATCAGAGGTAGAAATGTACATTGTGATATGGTAGATGTATCAATACAATATAAGTATACTCTTATACAAAAATAGAGGTAGGAACACTCACATTCAATATTCAATATGTCAATATACAGGAAACAGTACCAATACAATTTTCTAAAAACAGTAACTCACAAATACCAATCATCCCATCAAACCAGTTAACCCCCCTTTTTTTTTTTTTTAACATACCCCTAACTCCATAAAACATCTCCCCATCCCCTCAACCCCAAACCAACCACTAAAAGATGTCCCTAACCCTGAGGGCAAACTCTGTTGGGGGAGGGGACGCCGTCCTCTAAGATTGCTTCAAGCTGACATGGGGGCGATGTTCTCCTTAGGGGCTCCTGTGAAAGCAAATGATGGTAAAATTCCCAAATTAACCTTTGGCCTAAGAAAATTATAACTAGTCCCTGAGCGCTTTGAGAAGGTCCGGCCAGAGTGTCGTCAAAAAATGTGCACCATTCGAAATTGTCTTGTGCAGTTGGTACCAAAAAAAATTATTAGCACGTAGAAAAGAAAAAAAAAAAAAAAAAAATATATTCAATATATTCATGACGTCATAAAAACCAGGTTGAGTTGATGTTGTGGGGCCCCATCTTCATCCTGGAAACTTCAAAAATTACTGTAGGAAAATTTGTTGCTTGTTATGGGAAATTTAGACACTAACAACAAGGACATATACTGACATATAAAGAAAGACACAGATACGAGGAAAAGCAAAAACAAAAAACAAAAAACATATATACATAAATATATAAAAAATCAATACTTACGGTATGTATATAATGTTAGTTGATCCTTAGTAGGTCGTAACTATTATCCATCCATCAGTAATTAAATATTCAGGGTCCCTTAAAGTCTTTGAAGATCAATATTTTCCTGTGGAGATAAGAAAAGAACCCTGCCCCCAACCTATCTGTATTCCTTACCATCAGTATGCTCGCCAACCTTGTGAAAGAATTGTTATTTATCTTTTCCAAATGGCTTTTCTTCTTCATACCGAACCTTTATTAGTTTTGTCGGTATCCACAATTGTTCCTCACCTGTGGAGATAAGAGCAAAACCCCTTCCCCAACGCAGCACATCTCCTGGTTTCCATTGTGAGGTCAGCACATCCTTGAAATAAACTGGTTGATTTAGTTCAGTAGACTTTTCCATTATCCAATGTCTTTCTGCAGCCGTTGTCCCCTTCTCATTAGCGTTAAGAAAATTCAAGGTTAACAAAGCATTATGTAACCTATTTCTGGGGGTGTTTTCCACCCCTTTCTGTTTATTCAACATATCTTTTATAGTTCGATTTGATCTTTCTATGACTGCTTGACCTGTAGGATTGTATGGTATACCTGTAACATGCTTGATATTGTAATAGTCAAAAAACCGTTTCATTTTCCTAGAGGCATAAGCAGGACCATTGTCCGTCTTTATTTGTGTAGGTATACCCATGATAGCCATGACTTCTAATAAATGAGTGATTACTGAATCAGCTTTTTCTGAACTTAAAGCAGTTGCCCACTGAAAGCCTGAATAAGTGTCAATGGTGTGGTGAACATACTTCAATTTGCCAAATTCTGCAAAGTGGAACACATCCATCTGCCAGATTTCATTCCTATGGGTGCCCTTTGGATTAGCCCCTGCTGGCAGTGGCGTTTGGTTATAGAAAGAGCAAGTAGGGCATTTCTTTACAATCTCCTTAGCCTGTTGCCATGTAATAGAAAACTCTTTCTTCAAACCCTTGCTATTAACATGATGTTTTTTATGAAATTCAGAGGCTTGTAGCACACTACCAATCAATAACTGATCAATGTCTGCATTACCTTGTGCTAGAGGACCTGGCAGACCCGTATGGGATCGGATGTGTGTTATGTACATAGGGCAGAGCCTGTTCCTGATCAAATCTTGAACCTGGATAAACAATGAGGTTAGTTCTGTATCATCAGGTATAAATTCAGCAGTTTCAATATGTAAAATAACTCTTTCTGCGTATTGCGAATCAGTAACTATATTAATAGGTTCTCTAAAATCCCTTAGCACCATAAGAATGGCATATAATTCTGCCTTCTGGACAGAATCATAAGGACTTTGTTCCACCTTACCCAAGTCTTCCGATTTGTAACCTGCCTTCCCTGTTTTATTGGCATCAGTATAGAATGTACGGGCTCCAGTTATTGGAGCATCACGGACGATTCGAGGAAGGATCCATGAAGTTCTCTTTATGAAGTTAAGCCTCTTGCTTTTTGGATAATTGTTATTAATATCTCCCAAAAAACTAGCACAAGCTCTTTGCCATGGTTCATTATCTTCCCATAATTTCTTTAGTTCATCAGCAGTGAAAGGCACTATAATTTCTGCTGGGTCTATGCCTGCTAATTGACGAAGTCTCAGCTTTCCTTTTATAATTAACTCGGCGACTTTTTCCACATAAGTTTTCAGTTTTTTACTTGGTTTATGTGGTAAAAAGATCCATTCCAAGATAATATCATCTCTCTGCATTAAAATTCCTGTAGGAGAAATTTTGGATGGTAATATGACGAGAATACAATCGAGCTCTGGATTCACCCTGTCCACATGTGCCTGTTGTAATTTTTCCTCAATCATCGTCAGTTCCTTTTCTGCTTCAGCTGTTAATTCTCTGGGACTGTTTAAATCTTTATCACCTTCCAAGGTTTTGTTCAGATGAATTATTAGATCAGGTGTTATCCCAATAGTTGGTCGTAGACTGGAAATGTCTCCTAACAGTCTTTGAAAGTCATTAAGAGTCCGTAAGCGATCTCTCCTAATTTGTGCCTTTTGTGTCTTAATTTTTTGCAAACCTATTTTATAACCTAAATAATTAACAGAATCTCCCTTCTGTATCTTCTCAGGAGCAATTTGCAATCCCCATTTAGGTAAAAGTATCTTTATTTCTTCAAACAGTCTGTTCAAGGTATCCATGTTTGAATCGGATAACAAGATGTCGTCCATGTAGTGGAATATTATAGATTCAGGAAACTTCTTGCGTACTATTTGCAATGGTTGGTTCACAAAATATTGGCACAAGGAGGGGCTATTTAACATACCCTGGGGGAGGACGGCCCAGTGGTATCTCTTGGAAGGTTGAGAATTGTTGTAAGTAGGCACCGTGAAGGCAAATTTTTCTCTATCTTCTTTTTGTAAAGGTATGGTGAAAAAACAATCCTTTAAATCAATAACTATAAGAGGCCATCCTTTTGGTAATAAAGAGGGCAAAGGGATTCCAGATTGCAGAGGACCCATAGGTTGAATAACTTTGTTGATAGCTCTGAGATCTGTCACCATTCTCCATTTACCTGATTTTTTCTTAACCACAAATACAGGAGAATTCCAAGGACTGGTAGATTCCTCTATATGTCCAGCATCTAATTGCTCTTGTACCAGCTGTTCTAAAGCCTGTAACTTTTCCTCAGCTAGAGGCCATTGTTTTGTCCATATTGGTTTCTCAGTCAACCATTTTAGAGGCAATGCTGTTGGTATCTCTGAAGGAGTTTCAATTGTTTGTTCTTGTACGGCCCGAATGGCCGGTTTTCTCCGTTTGTAATATCTTTTAATATTATTCTCAGAAATATAGGCTCTAGAATTAGCAGGAATGTTAATTTGGGTATTCCATTGTTGTAATAGGTCACGACCCCATAAATTCATTGCAATACTGGCTACATATGGCCTTAATTTCCCTATTTGTCCCTCAGGCCCTATACATTCAACCCATCTCGTGCTCTGTCTTACTCGAGATAGGGTTCCAATTCCCAGGAACTGAACATTTACATTCTGAAGAGGCCAATATGGATGCCAAGATTCTGGGGTAATGATACTTACATCAGCACCTGTGTCCAGCAGGCCAGTAATAAAAATGCCATTTACACACACTTTCAGCTTAGGTCTTTGATCATTTATAGAAGTTTGCCAAAACACACGTAACTCATCTTTCTGCTCATTATCGTTTGTAACAGTAGGCATGAGGTTTCCTAATTGTCCTGACGAGGCACGTTCTCTGCAGAAACTGGAAATGACTGGACCATGTTTGCCATGGGGGCCTGTGAGGCCCCCCCTCTCACGTTTCCCGTCTGTATCAGGTTTCCTTGTCTATCTCTTGTAGATCTACACTCATTCGTCCAATGTCTACCCTTTCCACATCTTCTACATAAACCTGAAGGCTGAGTCCTTCTATTTCTGTTATTTCTAGAAGACGCATTATTATTGTTTCTGAAGGTCCGTTGTTTACAATTCCTTCTCATATGACCCATTTTGCCACAATTAAAACATTTGGTATTCTGATGTCTCCTTTTACCATTGGAAATTGCTTCCTCTACCCATGCTTCAGTGCCATAATCAAATGTATCAACATCCAGTGTATGCAAGACCCATTCTTCCAAGGGTGCTGATCTGAACCTTAAAGGCCCCAAAATCTTTTTGCATTCCACATTTGCATTTTCATAAGCCAAAGACTCAATCATTATACGTCTTGTGTCAGGGTCAGGTATCCCTATTTGTACAGCCTTAGTAAGTCTTTGTAAAAAATCACTAAAGGGTTCTCTCTGACCTTGTTTAATCGTAACAAATGATTCCATTCTCTGTCCTGGGTCTTGTACCCTGTCCCAAGCCCTTAAGGCTGCTGTAGTGCATATGGAGAGTATGCTTTCATCCAAATTAGCTTGTTCCTGAGGATCGGAAAAGAGTCCTTCACCTAGAATTTTATCTAGGGAGATGTCACTTCCCTTCGCCTTTTCTTGCTGTTCTAAAAGTCTAGCCTCTTGCCTGAATAAGCATTTCCATCTTAAATGCGTCCCACTCTCAAGGACTGCAGAGGTCATCTGGGTCCAGTCTAAAGGCGTTGGTCTGCTCATTATGGCCCAAGATTTTAGCATCTCTTTAACAAAAGAGGAGTGCATCCCGAAAGCCGTGACAGCCTGTTTAATTTCTTTGAGATCATTTATACGGACAGGCTCCCATGTATCTTCCTTAAGGATCCTAGGGTTTTTGGAACCAATCACCTTCTCTGTCGTTATTACTGGAAAGGCAGGTAGAGGTGTAGATAGAGATTTGTGGAAATTGTCCCGGAGGGATTTACCCACAGATGTAGTTAAAACTTTCCTTTCTACCGTTTGTTCTTCCTCATCAGAATCAGAATTTAGAAATTCCTCAATCTTTTCAATTCTATTCACCATTGCCTTCTGCAATGTCTGTATCTCCTGTCCAGAATTATGTTCCAAAGCCCTCATTGAGGATTCTAAAGTATGAAGTTTGTCCGTTAGAGATAAGTTCTCATCTTTGGACATGATTTTTATGGCATAAACCGTGCCTTCTTGTATTGACAATCTTTCCACCACTCTGTCATAAGCTTTAGACAAAAGTTGATTTTCCCATTCAACCGATTTAATTCTCTGAGATAATGTTTCAGTCCCTTCAGAAAGTGACTGATGAAATTTACGATTTAAATCAGCTGTTCCTTCTTCCATAATAATAAATTTCTCCTTAATATCAGCCTGAACCTTTTCTAAGTTTTTTTCAGTCACCATTGTCTTGTTAAACAAAGTTCTGTTCTCTTCCTGTAGAACTTTAAACTGATTCATGAGAAGATCATTGTCATGCTTAATCGTTTGTAGATGTTCAACCTCTGCCTTAAGAATCCTGGATTCATCTCCAATAGTTTTTAGATGTTCAACCTCTGCCTTAAGAATCCTGGATTCATCTCCAATAGTTTTTAGATGTTCAACCTCTGCCTTAAGAATCCTGGATTCGTCTCTTAAAGACTCTATCAGACTTTTGTTGTCAAACCACTTAATACCAAGGAAAACTACTAATCCCAGAAGGATCCATAGATGTGGGGTGCTAGACACCTCTTGTAGGATCTCCCACATGGCACACTCAAAAAGACTGTTAAAATTCTGAATGGTAATATTCTCAGACATTTTTATTTATAAAAGGAAAATTTTTTTTTACCTGTAATGACTGGTCCCTGCCAGAGGTGGCGAAAGAGTCCACTTGAGTGAAGAGTCTCCACTTGGAGAGCCGGTCTGAAACAACTCAAAACCAAAATTTATTCAAAGTGACCCCTTCCTCTGTGGCGGTTTGTGTTATAAAACCGCAAATATTTAAGCTTCCGTGTTCAGCTCCAAACGTCAAGGCAGAGAGGGAGGGGCTAACTCCTCTGGCACTGTGAGAGGAACAAAGCGCTGGCTACAGGCAGCTTGGGACCCGTAGCAGCTGCCTCAGGGCTGCCCCAGCCGGGCCTAGGGCGAGTGGGCGGGCGAGTGAGTGGGCCAGCGCTGCGGCAACCGCAACCGCCCAGGACCTGCTGTGGGCTCAGCGGGCTAAAGGGCGGGGGCAAATGTGCCCGAACGTTGGCGCGCCAAAATGAAGCCGCGGCTTAGATTAATGTAGACAATTGGGTAGGTATTAGCACAACTTTAATGAAAACAAGACTCACGAAACCAAGGTTCCAGCGAAGTACCAGAAGCAGGAAGGGAAGTGCTGTTTCTGCACACCCAAGTTATCAGAGAACATTTGCCCGAGGCGAGCCCGCCCCCAATGGGCGGGCTTATCCCTACAGATAATGTTTGCATGAGAGTATAAAATTATGCCATCCAAAGAGATTTAGCATAATATAAAACTATAGTGATTAAATATCTGGAAAGAAAAAAAATGGGAGGGGGAGGGGAATTCTTTTAATGCATAATGAACTAAACCTCTCCAAACACTTGCTACCAAGATGAATAAAGAAAAAAAAATGTAGGCAAGAAGCCAAAAGTCAAGAGGACATTCTTAAAATGGCAAACTAAACATAGGCAGATAATGCAAGGGGAACCTGGTGATATTCAGAAATAGCCACATTCTGAATATTTAAGGGAATTTCAAATTGATAGGAATTTCCCAAGGTCTGTCCTTCTTTGAAAATCTGCTCCTTGGAGTCTTCTTTTTAAAACCTTATGACCAGAAATGAAAACACAGACACTGAGATCTTAACACTTTCAACTTTACAGGAGCTGTAATCATCTCAGTGTCAAACCTATGAACATACTATAGAAGTGTTCATGGAGAAGTTTAACCAAATCCATGCTAAATGTGGGGTGCACAATCCATTGGCTGGAGTCCTGGACTGAGTAGAGGGGAGAAAGTGATCTGGGACCCAGCAATAATGTCTCTCTGCTTCCTGGCTGCAATGCGGTATGAGCAGCTGTCTCATTCTCCTGCTCTCACGCTTTCATCACACTCCACTGTGAACCAAAATAAGCAGTTCTGTCTTAGTTAGGGTTTCTACTGCTGTGAAAACACCATAACCACGGCAACTCTTATAAAGGAAAATATTTAAATGGGGTGGCTTATCATTTCAGAGGTTCAGTCTATTATCATCATGACAGGACATGGTGGCATGCAGGCAGACGTGGTGCTGGAGGAGCTACATCTTGATCCCATAAGAAACAGGAAGTGAACTGAGACACTATGTTGCATAATTTTTTTTTCCATTGTGACACTTTGAGACTGTTAAATAAAATTTACCTTGAATCAGGAAGCAGAACCAGTGAATAGCCAACCAGAATTGACCATTAAGAAGCCAACAATTTGGATAGAGAAGACATACAGGAAAGTTTGGTGGTTTTTGGATTAGTGAAGAGACAAGGCTCAGGAAACAAGCTCCACTGGGAGGCCAAATTTGCCCTGAGGCAAGGAACTCCACCTTAGACAAGAAATTCCACAGGAGTGGCTCTGAAGGAGCTTCCTCAGACAGAGAGGGCCTGAAGAAACAAGCTCCACCCAGAGCAGAAGCCAGGAGTAAATCCAGTCCCAGAAGCCAACCCAGTTCTGGGACACTGACTGAGCCAGAGACCTGACTCAGAGTCAGCTATCTCCACCGGAACTGGAGTGGGACAGAACCAGTTACCTAGGACAGAGAGCACACAAGATACACCCAGAGCAGAAGCCAGGAGCAAATCCAATCCCAGGAGCCAACCCAGTCCAGAACACTGGCAGATCAGGATTGAGCCAGCAACCAGATCCAGAGTCAGTGATATCCACCAGAACAGGTAAAGGGGAGTAACCACTGAGTGAGTGAGTCAGAGCCAGAGACCACTGAGAACAAAGCCAGCAATCTAGGCAAAAGTAGACCTGAGACAGCAAATTCCAAGGGAACAGAGCAAAGCACAGGAGCACTGAGCTTTCTCCAGGAACACGAAATAAACGACATAGTAACAAAAACTGTGACACTGACTGTACCACGAGGAACAACCATCTCAGCTTTGGATTTACTGGCACCTAGAAGATTATTCAACAGAATCTCAGACAGCACCAACCACACCTATTAGAGGAAAAGATGAGTAGAAAAGGTAAGAACACATGCAACATCACAAAGAGCAACGTGACACCAGTAAAACCTAAAGACCCTTACAACAGCAAGACCTGAACAATCAAATATGGATGAAGCAGAAGAAAAGGACCTAAAATGTAACTTCAAGAGAATGTTTGAAATCTAAAAGAGAAACTGAGAAATTCCTTTAAAGAAATGGAAGAAAAGATAAGAAATTGGAAGACAGCAGCAAATTACTTAAAGAAAAGCAAGAAAAAGAAAAAAAACATATGAAAATAACTATCCAGGATTTGAAAACTGAAATATAGGCAATAAAGAAAATACAAACTGAAGGAATTATAGAAACAGGAATTATGAGAAAATGATCAGGAACCCCAAATGCAAGCATGAACAGTGGAATACAAAAGATGGAAGAGAGAATATCAAGTGCAGAAGATACTATAGAGGAAATCAGTTAAAGAAAAGATTAAATCTAACAAGAGTTTAACCCAAAATTTCCAGGAAATATGGGACACCATGAAAAGGCCAAATATAAGAATAATAGATATACTCTGTTCAGCTCAGTGCCCCATTTTATAAATAGGTTGATTAGCATTTTACAGTCTAGTTTCTTGAGTTCTTTATATATTTTGGAGATCAGACCTTTGTCAGTTGCGGGGTTGGTGAAGATCTTCTCCCAGTCAGTGGGTTGCCTTTTTGTCTTAGTGACAGTGTCCTTTGCTTTGCAGAAGCTTCTCAGTCTCAGGAGGTCCCATTTATTCAATGTTGCCCTTAATGTCTGTGCTGCTGGGGTTATACTCACCAAGGCCAGCTAGACTGGGTCTGAAAAAGCATAGGATAAAATCGGACTCGCTTAACATAGTGGACAATGAGGACTGCTGAGAAGTCAAGAACAATGGCACTGGGTTTTGTTCNCCTACTGCACGTACTGGCTTTGTGGGAGCCTAGGCTGTTTGGATGCTCACCTTACTAGACCTGGAAGGAGGTGGGAGGTCCTTGGACTTCCCACAGGGCAGGGAACCTGGTCTGCTCTTTGGGCGATGAGGGAGGGGGAGTTGATTGGGGGAGGGAAAGGGAAATGGGAGGCAGTGGCAGGGAGGAGGCAGAAATCTTTAATAAATAAATAAATAAGTATAATAGGTATAGAAGAAGCTCAACTCCAAAGCATAGAAAATATATTTAACAAAATCATAGAAGAAAACACTCCCAACCAAAGGAAAGATATACCTATGAAGATATAAGAAGCTTATAAACACCAAATAGACTGGATCCAAATAAAAAGTCCTCTCTCCACATAATAATCAAAACACCAAACATACAGAGTAAAGAAAGAATATTAAGAGCTGCAAAGGAAAAAGGCCAAGTAACATATAAAGGTAGACCTATCAGAATTACACCTGACTTCTCAATGGAGACAATGAAAGCCAGAAGGTCATGGTCAAGCATTATGCAGACATTAAGAGACCATGGATGCCAGCAAAACTGTCAATAACCATAGAGGGACAAAACAAGATATTCCATGACAAATCTAAATTTCACCAATACCTAGTCACAAGCCCAGCCCTACACAAAATACTAAAAGGAAAACTCCAACTCAAAGAAGTTGGCTACACCAACAAAAACACAGACAATTGATAGTCTCATGGAAGCAAATCCCAAAGAAGAGAAAAATGCACAAATTAACATAGAAAACAATGAAAACTAAATTAACAGGAGATAGCAATCACTGGTCATTAATATCCCTTAATATAAATGGATTCAATTCACCTATAAAAAGGTACAGGCTAGCAAATTTGCTATGAAGACAGAATCCATCCTTCTTTCGCATACAAGAAACACATCTCAACCTCAAAGACAGACCTTTTCTCAGAGTAACGTGTTGAGAAAAAAATATATATCAATCAAATGGACATAAGAAACAAGCTAGCAGAGCTATCCTAATATCAAACAAAATAGACTTCAAACTAAAATCAATCAAAAGAGACAAAGAAGGTCATTTCATATTAGTCACAGGAAATAAACAATCAAGAGGAAATTTTAATACTGAACATCTATGCCCCAAATACAAGGGCATGCTCATATGTGAAAGAAACACTTCTAAAGCTTAAATCATACATTAAACCACACATACTAATAGTGGAAGACTTCAACACTCCCCTCTCACCACTGGACAGGTCAGTCAGACAAAACTAAACAGAGAAATAAGAGAACTTACAGATGAAATGACTCAAATGGACTTAACAGTCATCTATAAAATATTCCATGCAAACAGAAAAGAATATACCTTCTACTCAGTGTCCCATGGAACCTTCTTAAAAATTGACCACATAGTTGGTAACAAAACAAATCTCAACAAATACAAAATAATTGGAATAACCCAATGTACCTTATCAGGTCACCATGGTATAAAACTAGAAGTCAACAGCAATACTAATTCTAGAAAACCCACAAACACATGAAATTAAACAATGCTTACCTAAATCATCAATGGGTCAAGGAAGAAATAAAGGGAGAAATTAAAAACATCTTAAAATTCAATGAAAATGACCACACAACATACCCAAATTTATAGGACACAAT